CGGGGGACGCTCCTGCCCACCTCCCTGCCTGCACCTTACCAGCCGCAGAGCAGGTCACCGTTGCTTGCGACAAGTGTCAGGGGCAGCCCCGAGAGCAGAATCAGGTCAGCTCAAGTATCTTGTCCCCTAATGCAATGGTGTTTACACCGTAATTTTACTGCTGGGATGTCACCCGTGCCCTGCTCTGTGCCCTGGTAGGGGGGAGCATGTTTGGAGCTGGGGGTGGTTTCTTGGGGGTAGCAGCACTGGGCGTATATCCCCTTGCTCCTAACAAAGCACCTTTAAAACCAAGGGAGGGGGGAAGATCAAATTTTTAGAAATCTCTGGGTTTGCCATTTTTAAGGGCAGAGGGGATGGGTCAGGCAGAATACCTCCAGCCAGGAGCTGTCCCCACATCCTGGCCGGATCACGGTCATGACCTCGTGGTTGTGGGATGGCGCAGCGTGGAGAGAGGAGCTGTGCAAGGAGGGCAAACATTAGCAAGGCTGGAAGGAAAAACAGTGCTGGTGGTTTTGCAGTTCACTGTGTCACCAAGGAAATAGCGCAGTGTGGGCTGCTAACAAGGGCTGTCTGAGGCCAGGGTGCTCCAAAACCCCTCGCTTGTCCCTGTGTCCCTGGCCAAGCTTTTCCCTGCTGTGCAGGACTTGTTATTTAGGTCCCCAGCAAAGAGGTCCTCGAGTTTGAAAAGGCAGCAGGGAGCATGGGGCTGAAGGAAGGGACAAGGTGCAGCCACTCATGTGGCTGCAGAGCACCCAGCACAGGTGGCTGGGGCAGGAGAGGTGCAGCGTGTCCGCACGCCTTACCTGGAGCGTTGGCACCCCCAGGGTTATCAATGCCGAGAAGTCGGAGTTCAACGAGGACCAGGCAGCCTGCTGTCAAATCTCCATCCGGAGGAGAGAGCCGGGCCTGGAGGAGGATGAGGAATGGCTGATCCTGTGCTCCACGCAGGTATAGCCCCCAGGCAGGCTGTGCTCACCCTGCTGCCAGCCTTGATCCAAGGGCCCAGGTACAGGAAACATGGGGTTACCCCATCAGTCCTACATGCCCACGCACTGAAACCCTTCCTTGGACATGTTTAGGGGACCCAAGTACTCTACATCTGGCCAGCAACCACCCAGCTCTGCCCGTACATGACACTTCTACTTCCATGGCCCATGAGTTGGGGCATTTGAGGTCGTCCAAGCCCTTTACTTCGTGCTCTCACCTTTCCTTTACTGTCCTCACTCTGCTTTCAAGGGCTGGTGTGTGTTGTCATCACCTGGGGGCAGCAGCATGAACCAGGCACACGGGATGCTATCACCTGGGAGCAGCTCTGCCTCACCTCCTGTAAAATGGCCCCATCTACCATAAACCACAGAGGAATAGTGCGCAAGGGTGGGTGGCTGCAAATCCAGCCGCTCAGAGCTCAGATGATGGGTCTGGCAGAACAGCATGAGCATCACCTGAGTTTGAGCTGCACAGATTAATTGGTGGCAGGGAAGGATAGCTGGGGTGAAAAGCCAGGCAAAACATACAGTGATGTCCTGGCTGTGAGCCTGCTGTCTGCAAAACCTCTCCCACCCCTGTCTTCACCCTCTTTTTTGCTGTCTTGTCTCTCTTCCTTACTGCAGTTTCTGACTGGTTACTACTGGGCACTGTTTGATGGCCATGGCGGCCCAGAAGCTGCCATCATTGCCTCCAACTATTTGCACTACTGTATCAAGCAGAAGCTGGAGGAGGTTGTGGGAGGCATCACAGAGGCCCGGCCCCCCATGCACCTCAGCGGACGCTGCGTTTGCGACAGTGACCCCCAGTTCGTGGAGGAGAAACACATCCATGCAGAAGACCTGGTGGTGGGAGCCCTGGAGAACGCCTTCCAGGAATGCGTGAGTCAGCCGTGCAGGGCTCTGGTCCTGCTGCCCCAAGCAGGCAGTCTGTCCCTCCCTGCTGCCTGGGGTGGGCAAGGTCTGCAGTTCTGCAGCTCATTGGGCAGGCAGGAACTTTTGGCCCAACCTTTAAGCGTGCTGTGATTGCACTGGGTCAGCTCCCCAAGATCTGCCTCATATCTATTGCACATCATCAGTGCTGACCCAGAGCAAAGCTACAGCAGCTCTGCTAAACCACACCCAGGGGATACATTTATTTAGGGCTAGGTGGTGGCTATTGTCACACTCATACAGCGCCTACAAGTTTGAGATCTCCCCATCACACTCCTAAAGCGGTCCTCTGTCTAGTAGCAACAGCTTTGGTGGCTGTACTGAAGCAACATTGTCTTTTGCCTTGCTGGTTTCCCTTGGCCCATCTGCAACCAGTTTTGGTTCTGGATTTCTGCTGGGAGGCATGAGGCAGCAGCAGAAAGCAGCATCCCAGCTCACATCACTCTCCAAACTTGTTTAAACCAACAGGATGAAGTCATCGGCCAGGAGATGGAAGCTACGAACCAGACAGGAGGCTGCACTGCTCTGGCTGCCCTTTATTTCCAGGGAAAGCTGTATGTGGCTAATGCTGGGGACAGCAGGTGAGCCATAATAAAAGGGGGTTGCTGGGGGGATGAGAGCAGGAAGATAAGCGAGGTTTCCAGCATCTTATTTAATCCTACGGAAGGTAAGTGTGCAGCCCAGCCATTTCCCTGCTGCCTGCCACAGGACCTGTTGGAAGGATGGGTGCTCTCATACCTCCTGGAAGGGTTTGGGATTTCAAGGGACTAACGCTGCCTAGCCACAGGGCAGCACTGGGGTGGTAGTGCAGCAGTAAGCTCAACCTGGCAGGTGTTTTAAAGTGGAAGGTGATTCCAAGGCATCCTCAAGAGCTTGCTCATCTGGCCTTAGCCCACCATTCCTCTAGCAGTGAGCTCTACCGTTGTCCAACCAGGCAAGCTCAGTTCTCTGCTGCAACAGTGCAATTGCAATGGAGTCATTTAAAATACACTGGGATTTTTAAACATGCCTGGGTGCAGAGCTATTCTCTGGCACTGCTTTGCCGCTGGTTACCCCGGCCCCATGCCTGGCTGACCTGGGGCCAGCTTCGATAAGAGGAGGGCTGCAGTGACAGACACAGCTTTGCCTCTCCCCCCTTGTAGGGCGATTCTTGTTCTGAAGGACAATGTTGTGCCCATGAGCTGCGAGTTCACACCCGAGACAGAAAGGCAGCGAATCCAGCATTTGGTGAGTGACTCCATCCATGCATCAGACAATCCAGCTGACAGCATCCCACTGGGCCAGAGGGAGCTTGTGGCAAGAGGATCACCAGCTTTCCTCAGAGGCCACTGTGCCAGAATGTCATCTGGCACTAGCCAAGAAGGGCTGGGGGCAAGACTCAACCAACAGCCTTTAGTATGGGAGATGCTCATGTCCTCCTTGGGATGTGCTTTCCCAATTCTGTTCTCCATTCAGCTGCTGGGAGTGCCAGTCCTAAGGCAGAAGCAGTTTTGGTGCCCTACTCCGTTGAAGCAGAACCTGTCTGTCCTCACGCCTTTGTTCCCTCCTCCAGGCTTTTCTTTTCCCTAAGCTCCTGGACGGCGAGTTCACACGCTTCGAGTTTCCACGGAGGTTGAAAGGAGATGATGTAGGTCAGAAAGTCCTGTACCGGGATTACTTCATGGAGGGCTGGTGAGTCCTTTCTGCCTGAGGATAAGGCTGTGGCACAGGGCAGCTTTACCTGCTTGTAGCGATGGGGAGGTGAAGGGAGAAGGGGCATGCCCCACTGGTGAGAGCAGTGGGCTTGAGGGTGCAAAGCTGTGCCAGATCAAGTGAAGGATGCTGTGAGCAGCCTTCCCCCAACTGGAAGACTGGGGCCCCGGCAGGGCAGTTAGGGAACAGTTGAGATGGTCCTTCTGGGATCTTGTGAGGTGGGGCTGGTGCAGGGCGTCCCAGCCTGGTGCAGGTACACCTGAGGAGGAAGGGGAGAGGGGAAAAACACCTGGGCATTCAGCAAGGGCCCATCTTCACTGCATCTGCTTCAGCAAGTCACCTTGCCCCTTCCTCAGTCAGCTGCCTGTGCATGGGGGCACCACAAGGGTTGAATCACAGTTGAAATGCTCTGGCTGGGTTGTACCATCAAGTCGGACAAATCCCAAATCAACAGTGAATTCTCTGTTCTAGGGGATACAAGATGGTGGAGAAAGCCGACCTCAAGTATCCTCTTGTCCATGGTCACGGGAAGCAGGTAGCTTAATGCTTTACACAGTGGGAAGGTAGAGGCAAATCTGCGGGGGGTCCTCAGCATCCCTGTTGCTCACAGTCACACTCTGGGGCACTAGGGCAGACTGGGGCTGCAGAGAACCCAGTGCTCTGGGGCTCTCCAGCACAGTCCCACAGCCCCGATACAGCAGCTCTCCTCGCTAGTGCCATGCTGCCTGGTTCGTGTAAACCAGAGCCCTCCGGAGCAGAGAGGTTGCACCCTCCTCCAGAGTACCTGCTAGTGGAGCAGACAGCCGCCCTGAGCCAGCCTGCCCTTTCCTCATCTCCCCTTACACACAAGAGCTCATTTCAGATGAGACCTTATTTCATCAGATCCCACTTTGGACTGTCTCCTCCAGCTCTGACTAGTGCCTTTCCCACAAACCCTCTTCCTTGAGGAGAGGCTGAGGAAAGGAGCCTGGAGAGGGAAGGAGGAGGTGAGGAGAAGCAATGACTGCACAAATCCAGCGTCTCCCTGCTGGGGTCAAGCAGAAAGCCCCATCACCTCCCCCAGCACTACAACCCACATGCCACCCTCTTTGCAAGGAGTCAGCGCAGAACCTCGTTTGCCAGGAAAAAGGACACCAGCTCCCCCCACCTCCAACCAACCCAGTTTTCTTCCTCACCACCTCAAATCAAGGGCAGACACCACCATGGGCCTTGTGAGGTCTGCATTACCCAGAGTATGTGTACTAACGCCAGAGTACACCATAGGCCATCAGGAGCTGTTCACACGCAGGCTGTCTCTACGCTCACATCAGGCCATCGATTCTGATCACTCCTCCATCTCTGAAGGGGCTGTTCTGGGTGATGCTTGGAGAAGGGTCCTAAAGGCAACACATAGATCAGTCAGGACAAGCCACACGTTAGCCTTTAAACGTGCCACATTCTTACGTTTCAATACTGGTTTGCTTTGTTTGGGGCCAGGCTCGCTTGCTGGGGACGCTGGCTGTCTCTCGAGGTCTGGGGGATCACCAACTCAAAGTCATCGACACCAACATTGAAGTCAAACCTTTCCTCTCCTGCATTCCCAAGGTCAGTCACAGCACATGGGAATTGCAGGATGGAATTAAACAGGCTCCTCCTCCTCTGTAGCACCCATCTTTTACAGACCTGGCAGGTCTTAGCCATGACCTTTTTCCATCCCCTATCTCTCTGCATGCTGCTTGTTCAAGGAGATAAATCACTTGACACAGATGTGGGTATCTCTAGGTTTGCTTTATGAACAACTCGGCGTGTGGCAACCAAATTCCAAGTCCTTGCAGGTTTTATACCTTTTCTTTATCAATACACAGAGTCAAAAGTCTTTGTAAATTTTCACTGAGCCTTTCAGTTCTTCATATTCATCACTTATTAAGTCCGCTCACAATCCCCTTATTCAGCTGGGTTCATCTTTTCTGGTTCCAATTCTTGTTTTCCATTTCGGGTCATCTCTGAGTCATCGTCTACAAAATTATCTTTTCTACTGAGAACTTCTTACATCAAGTACTTATAAGGCACAAAGTTATTTAAGATTTAAACAATAAGTAAAATTCAAACAATCCTAATTCTAATCTTATTTCCCTATGCTCAGCACACCCATTACTAATCAATCACTGTTATTTCCTTTTATTTTCCTAAATGATCTGCACAACTAGGTTGGGAGGGTCTATACAAAGGACAAGGCTAAGAACATTTTCTTGGCCTTTAGAGCAGCTTATTCAACTGTAAAATTTTGCTACACTGCTCAGAGAATCCCCAAGTCAGAGGAATCTAGAAGCATAGCAGCAAGGGGATGTAAAAGATTCAAAGCATTCGGGTCCCACTTTGTCACCTCTCAGGGGAAGTCATCTCCCTGACCCCCCCAGTACATTGCAGGAATTATCACTGATTTACTCTGTGCTTCCCAGGTGAATGTGTTTGACCTTGCTGTGCATGACATTAAGGAAAATGATGTCCTCATCATGGCAACTGATGGCCTTTGGGATGTTCTGTGCAATGAAGAGGTGGCCCATATGGTCAGGAGCTTCCTTGCAGAAAACGGGACAGATCCACACAGGTAGTATCAGCTTTGCCATCGTTTTCCCTTCTAAAGAACCTGGCCAGACCAAAAGCAGGCTGAGATCACTCTGCCTCTAGGTCAGCTCCAGCATGACCAAGCACTCTTTTCTGTGACTCTGGGAACTGCCCCCTCGTCTCTCCCCATTCTAAAGAAACAATGATAAAGCTGGTGTCTTAAAAAAAACCCTACTATTTTGACAACATAAAGCCACATCTGAACGTTGTTCATAAGGGAATAGTGCCATGTTAACCCAAACCTTGTGTTTTTTTCCACCCACAGATTTTCAGAACTGGCCAAGTGCTTGGTATGCAGAGCAAGGGGAAAGAAGACAGGCCACCAGTGGATGCTGGATGACAGCCACGAGGCATCCTACGATGACATCTCTGTATTTGTCATCCCACTGCACAACAGGGATGAGGACTGACTGTTAGCATGACAGGCAAGATCTCTGGGTCCCCCTACTATGATGCTATTCAGCATCAACCTGAGACCAAGGGATTTCTGCAGTGCATGTGCACTCTCTTCCAGCAAAACCACCTGCAATGGAACCCGACAATGCACAGCCAGCACTTATGCAGAAGATGAACAAGGACATTAGCTCCTTAAGAACAAGCAAGAGAGGAACAGTGGGCAACAAATCATTCCCTTTACTCCTTTCTCATTGTTGGGCCAAGGAGAAATTGCAAAGGGGGCCACACAAGCTGAAGGGTACTATTCCTAACATCTTTGCGGTACAGTGAGACTCAAACCCGTATTTCTAGTGACCCCTCTCCCTTTTTAATATTGAAGAATGAGGATCAGTTGAGGTCGACCCAGTCTCGAGAGCTGGCTTTTATTCGGACTTGAACTAAGTTGTGTAAAACTGGATGTATGAGCTAAAGCATCCCTTGTAGCCATTTGCTGTAACATGAGATGTACTGAAAACCTAGGAGCTGCTGCTAAGACTGTAAGGCACAGCCGTGCCTGCGTAACGCAAATGCTGAAGCAGAAGCCGAGACCTCTTGAGAAAGTTGCCATTTGTAGGCAGCACCACCTCAAAACAATGTTGGCAGATGAAGCTAGACATTGGCATACAGGAGCCTCCTGTGTAACGATACATGCCTTACTGTTATTTAAGAGCACTTAAGTACATTAGTATGTAATGCAAATGTACAGATTTCTAACAAATCTTAGTCCACAACACTTAGTAACGCTTTTTCTATTCATTCACGACATTTCTGACAGCAAAGATGGTTTTGTAGCAGTAGCACTGATGATGTTTAAGTCCATCAGCTGATTTAGTAGAAGAACTCCAAGTAAAATAAAACCAGTTTGTTCAAATTTGCAATGCTGAATCTCAAGCGCTTACACTCGTTACAATAGGAACGGCAGTGCAGAAGACATACCAGAGTTGTGCCTTAAATTCTGAGGATCTGCATCTCAACCAGTTCATTAGCCAGACAAATTCAAGTCTGGACAAGCTTCCCATTTCCCCAAGTCCTCACTTGCAACACAAGTTGCAAGATTCCCTGGTGAAGTCGACAAACCCCAGTGTGTGTGTTTAAGTTCCACACGGATGAAAGCTCAATACTTTTTTTTTTTTTCCTCTCCATGCATCTTACTGCAGTTTTACTCCTGTCAGAGGTTTTACACAGACTTGAAGTGGAGAAAACAGCCTTAGAAAAATCACAAGGGAGTTTTCGCTTTGGATTTGTCTTTGCCAAAACCCACTTTGTCACTGGAAGTATTATTCCCTTAGCAGTGCTACCCTGAGGGCTAGGTGTCAAAAGATGGTTTCCTGCAGTGGGAGGCCTGGACCCAGGAACGAGGTAGCCTTCTCAGCTATCTGCTCATGGTTTAAGCAAGGGATAGAACAAAACCCACTTCTCTCCAGCTTTGCTTTCCCCCCCACATCCTCTTGAATTTAACCTGAAAACCACACACATGGGGTTTTACGCATGCTGCTGCCACCCCCCCCCCCCGCCGCTGAA